AGATGTCTTCTTCGGCGCCGCCCGCTTCGTCTCCTAGTGGTAAAGAGCCGGGAACCACTGCGCGCATTCTTGAGGTACACCTTGTGGCGACCGCAGATGTGCGGCCTATCGAGATAACAGAAGAGGCATGCAGATCATGTTCATTTCGCGGCGATAAACCTATATGGGCGAGGGGTTTCACGGTTGAGGACGCGCGATACTTCCTTGCTGCGCACTATGATCCCGCGCACTTATGTATCCCGGAAATGTTCGATTTGTATCCTATGAAAGAGATCATGCACCAGGAGATGAACCAAGACCACGATACAGAAGAGCAAAAGGAGGGCCGTCCTCGCTGCTCCTCCGACCACACTCTCCCGCCTACTTCGGAAGGAGAAGAAGATGTGGTCTCTTTCGCTGAGCCAGATCTCTCAGCGCGATTCGCGGACGACTTCGAACTTTTTCGTTTCGATAGAGACGCGGTGCCTGAAATTGTGAAGCAACGCCTTACAGAGAAGATGCCTGAAGAGATTTTGAATCAAGCACCTCCATCAGATCCGAGTAGTATTAGTTCTGGCGCAGACGGTACTTCTAGCAACACGACTGCGAAAGGCGTCTCCGAGGCTGAGACTGAGGAGCGACCTGCAAATGGAGTAGTCAAAGTGGGTCTGGTGGTGCGACAAGGCTTTACGTTGGGGCAAATGCGCAGCTTGTTAGCTAACGAGCATCTTCATGCCAGTGCTCCGAGTTCGGGCACAACTGGTGAAAGGGAGCAGTATGGAGGTAACTTGGAGTCGGGAACTAGTAACGGCAGCAAGCGTAAAAAGCTTCACAAGTGGGTTCCAAAGCATGGCCAAATGGTGCAGCAGCTCGAAGCAACATTAGCTAACTTCGGGCCTTCCTTTGCTTTGCCGCCTTTTCTTGCTGACATGCTACGAAAGTCCCCCGAATGGAAGCTGCGCAAAGGGGTAACTCTGAAGCTGAATCTGCAGCGCAGAATAATTGTGGATCAATTTGGGTGCATAGAAGGACGACGACATCAAGATACAACGTCTGGATGGGCGCAGCTGCAACACGAAGGGAAGCTGCTGGACAAAGAGCGGCTGGACGAGCTGTTTCACCTGGGAACTGTTGTGCGCGAGGAGAAGAACGTTCCAACGACGTATGAGTTGTATGTGAATTTGGACGCGAGTAAGCGTCGAAAATTCGGCTCGGTTTCGTTGTGCTGCTCTCAGGATATGTCGGTTGATGCAGAGTCGGACTCTCAGGAAGAGGATGAGGATGGGCCTTTGGATGAGGTGCTCAGGTCCTGGCCAGCACCGTTTGAGGTCTTTGCGCGTTTCCTCGAAACGAGTGACCTTAATTTGTTCGAAGCGCGGAATGGAATTAATTCCTATTACGAGCGGATGGGAGAAGCTCGGAAACACGGTGAAGAAGCCTTTTGCTACAAGGGAAATGTATTTCTTCGTGAAGATACGGGCTGCGGAATAATTCTATACAAAAAGAAGATGTGATATAATACATTATACATGCAACGCCTCGCGCTAGGCACATTCATTCACTCATCATATAGTAGACAGTCAGATGATGAGCGCGGGTGAAGGGAGACATGTCTTTTAGCACTGACAAGTATTGATTTCTTGTAGGACCGCAACAAGTCTGATTTATTGCACGAGAGGACAGCTGCTACAGTGTTTTATTCTGAAATAGTTTTGAATCAAGTTGGTTTGATCCTACCTACGCTTGTTAACATTCTGTTGCAGCCGCTCCTTCATGAAACGCCTGTCTTTCTTTCGCCGCTCTAGACTCACCCCAAGAATTGGCCATAGTGCTAGCGTAGTATTTTGCTCATGATCTTCTAGTAATACAAAAAGTTGTTGTTATTGTCGATGAGTGACCGAAACTGGGTGACCAAATGAATAACCTCGATTGATGACCTTGAAGCTGCGCGTGATCAACTAAATGTGCCAGAGCTGCTGCTAGTCCCAGGAGTAACTTTCATCAATCTATCACTCGACCGACCAGGGCGAACAGTTCCACATTGGATGCTGTAATACACTAAGTGTTAACGTCCATGATATTAAGGCTCTACACTTCTGAGATCTTTTAGTATGGGTTAGGAACGACCTACAGCTTAGCAGTGTTGTAATTTAAAACTTTCTTGTCGTGAAAAGGTTTAGACCCCGGCGCCTTCCAGTGTCTTCTTCAGTCAAGCCTCAGCTTTCCATGGGAGGGATAGTCATGCTATCCCTGTTTGGGTGGAGAGATCCCAAGCTTGCTCTGAAATCTAAAATTGTCTTGTCCTTTGATCCTCGGACTCGCTCCTTCATAGCGGGCTTGTGTCCTTTGGATCTACGAAGCTGGTCGTCGTATCGTGGCATCCCACTTCTCAAATTCTATCAAGTCTTGAAATCTTCTTGCAATTTTCAAAGGCCGGACCAGAGAAAACGGTCGCAGCTCTTTCATAACTTCACTACTAGTGGTGCTCTTTTGCATCTTTATCCCGACTTAGTGCGTTCTCAGACGTGTGGAGGTTTTTATGTCAGGCTGGATCGATTTGGGACATAAACTACTTTTCTTTGTATTGTATTGTAATACAAGAGGAACTTCGGCAAAGAGAGCCTGTCCGCTCCGTGAAGCTCCGCGTCAGCCTGCCTGTCAAAGCAAGGCACTTCTTCATCTACTTCATTGACCTGTAGTCATCTACGGGAGGGATCCTACAAACCACATGAAAAAGCTGAGAAATATATCATCAAAAATTTTTTTCTCACGATAAAAAAGAGTAATATTGCAGATGAGATTGAGAAGATCATGTTTCCTTTATGGGTCTGTGCTCGTCGTCGTCCGTAGCCGCCCGTAGTCACTGTGTCAAGCGCAGGGTTGATGAACTAAGCCTCAAGGATTGGCTCAACATAATAATCTGTTAAAATAAAGGAGAAAGAAAACTGGTTCTGATTGTGATGCTTGTCTGTCAGTGGTATCCGAGGTAGGTTCTTGGTGTTCGTTTATCCCGCTTGTTATGGCTGTCCCCCTTAGGAGAGTCATAACAAACGGCAACAGAAGCACCGCTAACCTACTCTTAGCGATAATTTGAGTGGTTGGCGCAATCTGTTTTGAGTGGGTCTATCAGCTGAGTGATTTGTAGACCCTGTTTTGAATACATAGGTCAGCGACCGTCGCTTGAGGGATTACCAATTCTGTCCTGAGCGAGACGGCGAAACGCTTGTCCTGTCTGCGTGATACAGTAGAGAGAGACCTACCTATGATCTGTGTGGATAGACCTGTTTCAATTTGTGTAGAGCGGAGTGGTCGATCAATCTGTATAGAGCCGAAAAGTGAGGGTCTATGCTAGACATCGAATGCAAGATGCGTTTCTCCTCCTGGAA